ACTCAAAAGTTCTATGTTAATGGCTGTTTGTTTCAAAGGAAATAATCCAGACTAAATTTTAAAAGAGATGGAAATAGATCATACGGAGTGGTAGTAAGCACCTCTAACCACTCAGCCATAGCGGCAGTAACTTTTTTGATGGGTTGCAAAATTCTAAGCATTAATCATATATCACATCCTCTGGAAACTGCTTTACCGATTATTTTCTTTCCATTCTCCACACAAACGCAAGCGAATTTAGTGCTCCCCTCCATATTTGGCATTGTTCCGAAGTGCAATGTCAACCAGCTTGTGGCAAATCTGTAACCGGCTGCCAGAAATTACTCAATATTGTATTAAGTGTACAGAAGACGGCTAAAGTCGTTAATAGAATTTTCAGTTTTGGCTGCATGTCGCCATAACCATTTGCTTGCTGCATACATGGGAAGACATTTCAAGCAAATGTATGTACATATGTGCAGTATGTGGGATTGCATACATTTCATTCAAGCTGATTGGAGTGCCATGAGCGCCTGCGGCGTAGATAGCAATTCTTGTTAAATGCAAACAAATGAAGAAAAAAACAACAGCAAAAAATGTCAAAAAAGTTACTTCACGGAAATCGATTCATAGCTAATAACTAGTAATTTTTAGCAAAAAAAAAACCGACTTCAACTCCCATATAAAAAAAAAAAATATATATATATATCTCATGATCCACTGATCGGATCTCAACCAGATTAGTATGGGACCACCTCTGAGACACTACCTTTCCGATGCAAAAATTTAAATTATCGAAATCGGTTGACGTGGTCCAAAGTTATGCGGTAACATACATAAAAAAAAAAAAAAAAAAAAAATTTTTCCGACGAACTGATAACCTCCTCCTTTTTTGGAAGTCGGTTAAAAAGTGATTTGTGGAGGTGACAAGAGTTTCTACCATTTCCGCTTAAGGGCAGGTTCACTCGAATTTCAGTTCGCCTCGCCACCCACTCAAAGGACTTTCATATTTGACTTTGGGTCATATGTGTGTATATTGACCTTTTTCGTAATTCCCTTAACCCACAATTATGTGAGTGTGCGGTGCTACAATCACACTCATGCATACATACATATAATATTCTGTAGCCATAAAGTTTGCACTTATGTGACCAGAGCAAAGCATCTAAGTGGGTGGCACCATGAATTCGGCAGTTGTAGAAATTCTACGATAAGCTTAAAAGTTTTCTCGATTTTGTGTGTACGCTGGTTTTTTGTTGATCACTGTTTTGCTTTTGTGTGCTTTCTTACTCTTTTATTCCATTTAAACTTTTGTTTTCATACCAAAGGCGATTTTTCTAAGTACTTTTTATTTAGTGAGGTTTTAGTATTATTTCACTTTCATTGTAGTGCAATGCAGCGCACTTTTGGTGGTACTTTTTGTTTTAGTTACTAGATTGAATTTTAAATAAAAATGAAATTAACTTGGGTATTTGTAAATGGATTTTTCGCTACCTTTCAAGTCCAAGGAGACTGCCAAATCACTGTAGTTGGAATCGGTTGGGTGTGTGTGAAAGCGAGCAGGTCTAGTAGAATTTGTTTCCACTTTTTTTGTTTACATTGCAACATTTTTTTTAAGCTTTTTCGATTTTGCATTGGATTGGCGAATCGCTCTGATTTCTGTTCGATTGGCAATGCTGAGTAAACATGGCGGAATAAAAGGTTTTTCTACTTGACGATTTGCGGTACGCGTTTCAATTCGGTTTGATTTGATTCATTGCCAGTAATCAGACAATTACAGACAAAATGAGAAAAGTTTACTATAAAAAGAATCGAAAATTGATTTCATCGGTAAATCGCAAGAAGGTCGAGTAATAAACTATGGAAAGTGGTACGTCCTTCCATTCGACTCGTAACGTGAATGAGAGAAGAGCTTATCCAAAGCTGTAAAACTTTTTATGCAGAATTTTGATAATTTTAGCCATACTCGAGGGGAAAGCATGCTTTGTTTGGGCTGTAATAAAAAAAATAAAATAAAATTAACTAACTACCTTTCACGCTTTCCACTCCCTACTTCAATCGTCGGATAATCTGCGGTATTTGCAGGATATCTTAAAAACTATTCACTGAATATACTTGGGATTTTCCGCAACTATTTTCGAATTATCATCGCTTAAACTGCTTAATCTGTATAAGACTGACAAATAGGTACACTGACTTCTAAAATACAAATATTCAATGATTTGCATATGCAAGCAAATATGTACATACATATATTACACTCTTTTCTATGGCTAAAATCCGCCTCATTTAAGTTCTTACTGAATAATTTGAAGAAGAAACTTGCCTTGTTTGGGCTAACAGCGGAAATAAGCCATTCATGAAAATGCATAAGGTATACAAAAATACAGATAAACGAGTGTGTCGTCGGAAGTATCCCTTTAGTGATACAATTAAAACGTATTTCATTTGAAATTCTTTGTTCCTGTTTCCAGACGAATAGTTAGATGAATTTTTCTGAATAAGACTTTGCCTTAGTTTGTTCTGAGTTTTTGTCGAAAGTCCTTCGTTAAAACACTCATAATGATCCTTCCATTGTATTCGTGGACTCCCTTGCTTTCCTTGTCCACCCATGGGTGCGGAGTAGAAAGATTTTTTCCACCGGTGCGTCCATGCTTACAACATGCTCAAGCCAGCGCAATCGTTCTATTTTTATATGCTTCACTGCACCTTATGTATGATATTCGTATTGTAGTATTTCGTTTATTTTATCAATTTAATTGAATACAATTTTTCAAACAGGTCAACCCTCGTCAAAAATATTTTTGGCAGTAAACTTTCCTAAACCACTTCAGTTTGATACCCGTATTTCAATATTCAATTTATTTAATCGAATTAAAATTTTTAAACAGGTAGCAATCTTCAACAAAAATAAGCCTTCTTAAACCTCTTTCTTTTGGCAGCCATATTGCAATATCTACTTTATTATGTCAATTTAATTAAACTGCAATTTTTAAACAGGTGGCCACTCCTTATTTTTTTTCTTTCCATGCTTTAAGTTAGACCTGTAGCAATGCATCGGTGAAAAAGTGGCAGGTAACAAGATCAACGGAAATAAGGTCAATTGACACTATTTCGCATCCTTCATATCTTCGTCGGAGAAGTTATTTTTCTCTTTTTTACATACATTGTACCAAAGAATGAGTTCTAGATCATAGGTCTGTTGAAAATGCTTCGCGTTCTTTTGTTTTTTTTTTCACTGGAACATTTAAGTTCTACCCAGAATTACAGCAGACGACGGTGAAATCCGTCAGAGTAAACACAATTTCGGCGCACAACGGCTTCCGCCAGTTGTCATTTTGATTTGAAAATGATCATTAAATTAAATATTTTTTCGGTACGTGCCTGTATGTACATAGATTTTCTGGAAATATGGATGAAAACATTGGCAAAGTTGTGAAAATAATAAAAACTAGTGAACCCGCATGGCGTTAAAACGGCCAAAATTGAATTAAAAAAATCTAAAAAATATTCCAAATGTTAATCAGAGTTATAAGCGATTCGAGTGCCATATTTCATCTAAATGCCCTTCAGCCGTTTCTGAGTGAAGAGAGGTCTCGCATAGTTTCGGTTTTTAATATCTCCAAAATTTGAAATCACCCTGTACCGATAAAAAAGTTCCAACTTCAAAAAAAACAAAATCTTAACCAATTTATACAGCCACCTCTCATACTTGAAATTAGAAAGAACGGTGCAAATCTAGTGACCTTCACAAAAATTGACCTCTCATATAATATACGTATATACTTAGTTAGATAAGTACGACTTTTCGAAAAGGTGGCAAGCTTAATAAAAGATATTTATTTATTTCATCGATTTTTGTTTTAATTTTTTATAAAACTTGTGTATAAGTTGACTAAATTCGACTATTCAAACAGATGGAAATCCTTTTCAAACGTATTTTCAAGCTAAAGTCTTTTTCAGTCTCTTGCTCTGGTGACACAAATTTCAATTAACTGATGAATTAACTTTAATTTGATTTTTCAAACAGAGGTCAGAAAAGGCTTGAAAAGGCTTTATTCAAACACATTTCGATTGATATCTATCTCTTGATAATTCATCTTTTATACAAAATAATTTCAATGTAACTTCTTAAACAGGTGGCAACTCTTTTACAACATTATAAATGCACCCGTATTTTAATATTTCATATAATTTGTATATAAGTTAATCAAATTCGACTTTTCCAACTGGCGGCAACCCTCGTAAAAAGTATTTTCAAGCTAAAATATTCCTAAATTTTCTTCACCTACATGGTGATCAATATTTTATTTTGGCATACGTATTTCAAATAAATTTCTTATAAGCTAATTAAATTCGACTTTTTAAACATGTGGCAGCCCTCTCCAGACGTAGTTTCAAGCTATAATCTTCTCAAATTACCCTCGAATGACATTATGGTACATATTTTAATTAACTGATGAATTAAGTTGAATTTTATTTTTTAAACATGTGGCAATAAATATAGTTCAGAAATAAAGCCTTGTCAAACCCATTTTGATTGATACCAATATTTTAATCATTTACTAAGCTTATTAAATAATTTAAATTTAACTTTTTAAACAGATGGCATCCCTCTGTAAACACCTCAAAAATATTGTTAGTGTTGAAACTAAAGATTTCTTAACACTCTTTTGTTTGATATGTTTTAATACTTTGTTGTGTATAAGCTAACTGAAATGGACTTTTGAAACAGGTCTACAGGATTAGGTCCACAAAAGTACCGAAATTGGTTGTGAAAAGGGTATGTTTTCAATTTTACGTTGACAAAACGTTCTGGGGAACTACGCCTAAGAGGGAAATGCACCTTTCTTCTTCTTCTTCTTAATTGGCGCTGTAACCGCCTAAGCGATTTTGGCCGAGTCCAAAACAGCA